GGAGAAGACTTCCTATTCCAGAACATTTTAACTATAGCATATATTATAATTGGAAAAGTAATTAACATTAGGAATATGTTTTCTTTAGTGGCAGAGTTCTGCATCAGCACTTTTTTTTTCAGACAACTGAAAAAATAAGGTAAACAGAGAACATATTATTAGGACACCAAAACATTACTGCTCTTATTTACAGTTCGAATATTGTTCATATTGCCAAAATCATTAATTTTTTGCACGGATGCCACCTGCCATTATATTCATATATGAGAATGCAATGGTAGACAAACACCACAAGGAAAAGATGTTAGTAGGTGGTTTTTAATATTATATATTCCCCGAACACTAATGTTGCTTTAGTTCTTTTTAAAAGCCATGACTAAACTTCAAATACTGAAAACAAAGCTTACTTCATTTTTTGGATGCATGGTACCATCATCTTTCATCCACTGTGACAGACCTGAATACCTACAATTTATAGCTTTTGCATTTGTTTCATTGTGTTTAGAAGATGGCTAATACTGCAGTTCACAGACCTTATTGCAACAACTCTTTAGCAATCCCAAATTTCCAAGATAAATATGCAGACCTTACTTCTAGGACTATTGCTTTCTAGAGAGTAAATGAAATATGGGAGCCATTCACCACTTACCTATGTATAGCAGAGATTAATTTGGTTTTGTATTGGAGAAACTGGAATGAAGGACCATTTATGAAGTACTTGCAGCTCTGAATATAATCAACTCTAATAACAAGACACAACTTACCAAAAAAGAAATCTTTTTTTTTTGAAACCACTTTTGTAATACTGCTTTTTAATAACCCTCATAATGGCCAAATTAGAAGGACCCCAACTGAAGTCATTCATCCCACATAAAACAAACATTGCTTTTTCTTCTTAGCTTTGTTTTACAAGCTACATTATTTCCAGATGACGCTTGAGGGGCCGAAGAGTTTCAAGAATTAGATGCTTAAACAGACAGCTGCTTTCTATTGACCATAAAAATCGAGGCTAAAAAAAAAAAAAGAAATCTAAGAGGAATCTAAACATTGGACTTCATTTAGCCCATTACACAGTAAAAATTGCAAAGGAAAAGAGAGGAAGAAGAAATACAGAAGTCTCATTGCGCAAATGCAAAATGCAATTCTGTTTATTAATGCACGAGAAGAATTCACTGCAAATCCCAGGCCTCCTTAGAGTGTTCAGGTGAGTTTAACGGGATTGGGAAGGAGGCAGGGAAGGAGAAGCCGGCTCTCATCAGAGGTGCTTGCAGCACCACCACGCTCTGCTCCAGGGACATCCCTGCCCACCACGTTGCACCCGCAGCCACAAGCATCTCCCTCTACATCATCAATGTGCATTTGCTTCTAGACCTCAGCTAATGCACGTTTAAAGCACGGCTCTTTACATAACCCCAAGGGCACATTTTTATAAGCAGTACAGCATATCTACGCTGTGCCATTTCCACCACTGACAAAACTCCTGCACCATTCAAGCGCCCGAGTGACAGTCTTGTATATGGAATAATTGTAGGTCTCTGCACTGAAGTGAATTATATTTAAAATTTTCCTGTTCAAGCTCTATTTGGAAGAAAAAAAATACACCTGATTTTTATAGCTCAAATCTATGAAGTTAAAAAAATTAAATGGAAATTAATTTTATAAAATTTTCTCTGTGGCTAGCAATCAGCTTTCCCAATCTATTTTTGATCCATCCTATTTCATTACCCAACGGCAGGCTTCAGGTAAAATCCCCATGGAAGGTAGCTAGTTAACCTGAAAATAAAGAACTAGAATTTGAGACCTCTCAGCAGAAAGTGGTGCCTGGGTCCTCCGGACTGCAGACCCTATCGTGGGTGGTGAAGGAGTCTGAAAACAGGCTCCAAGGAGCCTTCATTCAATGAAGGGCTCAAGTCTACTGCCACGAAGACAAGGTTGAGCTCCTGCTGCCATTAAAAGCCCTATCTTCACTGCATTCACTTACATTGAAAGAAATTCAGAAACCAAGGTTACACAGTCAAATATATATTGGAGACCTAAGTGACGATGCTTGTCAATTTACTTGAAGGCAAACTGTCCCTACATTTGATTTTTATTTTCCTTAAACTCTATGTAAAAGAAATTCTTACACTACACCTGGGAGAGAATTGTGAACCCTTGGCATAAGCTTGCCAAAATTCACAATCCTCCCTCCCTCCAAAGAAGCTGTTCCGGAGGATCCCTATGGCCAGCTGTGGTACACCAAGTGCTGAAGTGTACGAAACTCATGTGCAATGCTAAGAAATCCTTAAAAAGCAACAGCTTGGGCATACTGCAGCTCCAAAAGCAGGTCTGAGGCACTGCCTTCCATGGGAAGTCAGCGTGCCTCTGGTTATGCTATTTTATCTATGATTTAACAAATTACATTAGGATGTAAGAAAAAAAAATGAAAATTCATATATATAAAAAAACAAACATCGTATGCAAGAAAGCTATAAACAATCTAATTGGATTTTTCACATTTCTTCAAGTCTGGAGATACCTGCAGCGTGGGACAGCCTGCCCTAAGCATGCTATTTTGAAATCAATAATTGCTTCCATGAAAATGTTAAGAAACTTATAATAAAGAAACTTATAATAAAATGAAAATAAGTTAAGAAACTTATTAAATGACTAGTAAGCAAAGGACTAGCACGGCATACACTGAGAATCGTCTAACCAAGTAGCCCGTGTCTCAGGAGGGGATTTATTTCACGACACAGCTTTTTGGCACAAAACCCAGCATATAGGGTTCCCCTCACCACCCCTCTGGCTGCCTCAGACTGTATCAACCTGCACTGCTATCACGTCCCTGTCCCCACCAGGCCACCACCCTCCACTACTTTGTGTTGACTACACTTAACCAGGGCTTTGCTGTGCAGGGACCAGGGAACTGATCTAGCTTTAATAAGCAAAACCACCCCATGCTTGTTACCCTTTCCTTTTTTAGAGCCCTGCAAAGGCCTGATGACCACAATATAAAAACAAGCTGGCTCAGTTCCTTATTCCTGTTCACAGTTAGAAGCTCACGGCTTCGTTGGTACACTGGAGACCTCCTGGTAGCCATCAGGAGATACTCACTGAAGGACCATGAGAAATATGGTGAAGGAAATTTTATATATGATTTACTCTTTTGCACACTTTGTATAGCACAGATTCACTTTTCCATTAAAGAACATGGTAAGAAAAGAGCATGTATAAAAGCGAATTAAAAATCATGAAAAATGGATGTTTAAAACAAATTAATGATTGGTCTGAATGAAAACTCCGGACATAAATCTGAGTAGAAAAGGCAGCTTCAGCATCATGTCTGTTTTAATTATTTATTTATTGGTCCCACACTGGCAGGCAGCAGTGGAACAGATGCAGCAGAGAGATGGAGAAGAAAAAACCCCTTTTTAGCCATTAAAAGTTTATGTACTTCAGTTATCTCATTTCCTAGGACTTAAAAACTTTTAAGTTTCTTAGGGCATTCTCGCACCATTTAACACATACTTTCACAAATTTGTCTACATACACAAACATATATGCATATACAAGTGGAAGTATATATGCATATATGATGTGCAAATTAAGTGCATGTATGGAGGAATACATGAATATATATGTGTCATCAAGCTGTCTTCCTCCCTCTGAGCTTTGAGATGGTCACTTGTTTGCCTAGGGAAGCAAATTAAGGATCTCTTTTCATGAAACCAATATCCTTCCTCAAGCAATAGGCCACATAGAACTGTAGTCCTTGCATTAGGTATAGAAATTAGTATTACAAACTTTGGCCTTACTATTGAGGCATAGATGAAGGTGCTTGATGCAACCATCATGTCCCCAAACGTCCCAGCTTATTCCAAAGCAACATCACTTTGGCATGGAAGCCAACTCCTACTCTTTAAATACAGATGCATGTGAGGGGTGTCTTTCTGGAACATCTGGGATTCCTAATCACATAGGTCACATAGCAACTTATGAGAGGCCCTAAAACTACAGGTCTTGTAAGGAATTTATTATGATTTAAGACAAGATAAGGTCACAAGGATACAGAGGAAAATGCTGCAAATGATTTATTTGCTCTATAAACCAGTCTGTCTCTAACGAGCAAAACGCCTCTAGTTTCTACACTGCATGCTGACAACAGTAACTAAGAGATGCAGGTTAAGGAACCCAGTTCGTTGAATTACAGTTATTAAACTATTACAGAAAATTATTCTTCTTCTTTATTTATTTTAGGAACTTCTATGGCCAACTTTAATGCTAGAGAAATACAATATGTAAAGTCTCAGACAGGTGTGTCCTGGAACATGTTTTAACTCTCAAAACAAAATAGGTGTTACATATTTATTCTCAAAAATAACAAGCAAGCCAAAAAAAAAAAAAAACTAGGTAACTTTTTAGACATTACTATATAAAAGTTCAAATGAGCATAAACCAAAGACACTTAAGTAGTACAAATATATTATTTAAGTCCTTACAAGTCTCTGTCTCGTAATGAAGCTAGAGATTTTCCAACAACCGTGCAATTAAATTACAAAATCATGGACTATGTGTGGGTAATGGTTTAGCAGACTGGCAAGAGGCCCGTGCATATACAAACATCCTGAATTTGACCCAGGATGTCTCTCTCAAAGCCTCACTGGGAGTTGTTTTCAACAATATTTAGGCCTTCCACCATACTGCAAATGCCAAAGTGCTGTTCTTAAAAATAATGTTTTTAACGGCATGGTATAAATACCTTGAAATGCAAATGCTTTGGAAACAGCAAGTTGACAGTGTACAGTAAGTTTCTTAGCTATGAATAGTTGCGGTTTTGCCATTTGTAAGTGTATTTTTTTTTTTTAAACAAAGTTTCAGACATGATGTCATTCATAGACGCTCCTGTATTTTGCTGCTGGTAGTTGCTTACTTGTCACACTTTTGATAAATCTATGCAGCTTTGGGGATGCACCACTATATTTTGAAGAACTTAGTAGAACATTAAGCTCAATACTCACGTAATCGGGAAGTGGAGGGTCATTTGAACTGAGGGAACCTCTTAAGGACTGCGTGGCTTGCTCCAAAACTTTGTTGTGTTTTTTGGATAATAAAGAAAACAAACTGAAAAAAAAAGAGGGGAAAAATATTCAAGTAAATTCACAGTTAATATTCTCAGATAAGACAATCCAGCCAAAAGAGATACTTCATTATATACATGAATAGGAATAGAGAGATTTTTAGAAAGGCAATGCAATGCACAACAGTTGCATCTGAGATAAACAGCAGCAGGATTATAGATATTCTAAACAGTAAATTATAGGAAGAACATCACTTTTTTGTAGTTTAGTTCTTCAAATTCAAACTATAACAGAATTAATGGTATACATTTTATTTCATAACTGATACATATTCATTAAAATGTAATTTTTAAGTTCAGTATCTCATGAAATATACTTATTTTCCTTCCTTATCATTAGTATTTATTATTTCAGTGACCTAATTTTTCAGTATAGAAACATTCGAGTCTGTTTGGTTATTCAGGGGTTGTGTTTATGCAATTTATTACAATGTGTATTTCTCAATTTTATTTTAGCTTGTCAATGAAGTATCACGTGAGTATTACAAATCTGTGAAGTCACAGGTCAACGCACACAGAGAGAAAAAAACATTTTTTCATGCATTTTGAAAAGACCATGTCTTTTTCAAAAAAAAAAAAACACTACTGTTTTGATGGAGTTAGCAATCCTATATCATTAAAAAAAATCTCACTGCAACTCTTTCATCAGTCATACAAATAATAACATCCCCAGATGTTGCACAGTATTTATATATTTACAGGGGCTGCAACTGCAGACTTCACAAGATAGCACCAAATACTGAAACCCAAAGATGTTGGGGCTTCACAAATGCAACCCAGGACAGACCCCTCTCACAATAATCTTAAAGTGAGTTTGGGAGAGATGCTAGTTATATTTGGATAACAATAAAGCTGCACAGAGTCTATATTTTCCACCAGGAAAAATGCTGGAAATCCTCTGCTTTTCCCAAAATGGTCTATTCCAGAGCATGGATCTGCAAAGCTTCTAGATATTCCTTCTCCTGGCTTTTTCTGAAACTTTGGATCGAATGGATACTACTTTGCTGGCTGAATCGCTCTGGTTGCTTTCCAGCCTAATTTGAATGCTTGCTTATAAAAGTGATTTTTCATGTGTTCAGAAACCATTATGATAATACTGGTGAGAAATACTTCCCCCAACCTTGGTATGGGTTACCGTTTTAAGGTTTCCTGCATTTAAAACCTGGCATCTTTGTGGAGACAGAAGTTCCTTAGACTACCTGGAACAGTCCTTAGAGGGTAGGGCAGCTCTCTTGACAAATAAACATCAACACAATCCTTAGTGCTTAAATGTGTTGCTCTTTCCATCAGGTTACACTTGCTGTCGGGACAGGAGCAGTGGCAGGCTCCTTGCTCACCAGATTCAGTTAGAAAAGACTGAGCCCAGTTTAACAATCGAAAAAATAAGGGGCAGCATTGTGTTGTAGATTGCCTATATTTCTTGGAATTGGGCCAAATTCAGTGCTCTGAGGAATGTGCTTGGAAAGCTTTTCTGCCTAAAGAAATGTTGCTCAGAATTTGAGGAAGTTGCCTTTATTTTTTTACTTCCTTAAAATGTAACATTGCTATCATGGCCTTCACGGCACGTAGGAGTAAGTTCCTCGGAGCAGCAGGGATTTGTCCCCTTATTGTTAGTCAAGGGTCTCAGGAAAAGGCAAGAGCTTTTCCGACGTGTTTTGCCAGAAGTCCCAGGGAATGTTTCTTAAGACCAAATCTTAGCTCTCAAGAGCCAACTCAAGAAATTCTACCACTCTCCAGCCCCTATTCAGTTGGGTTTCTCTTAGACAAGGAGCTTATGCTGAGAACAATCTTCGTCACACTTAAGGCATCCAATTAACCCGCATTAAGAGCCCACAGAAACATGTTCAGCTGGAGAACTGGGATTTTACAGACTGAGCCATGTGCTCAAGACCATATGGACAAAACAGGGATGGCCCCTTGGCTGCCAGTGCCCAAAGCTCCTGGGGATGCTCCCAGCGAGGTGGGGATCACCGGGCTCATCACTCGGGCTGACACGGCCTGGGCATCAAGCAAAACTACAAAATGATTATTCTGTGATGGTTATAAGAGCTGAGAAATATTTAGGCTTTTCAGGATAACACAACCTGACTCTCAAGTGGTATGAACCCCTTTTTCTTAAAAGGGTGAGTAAGACCAGGAAACCTGCTTTGTTCCAGCATCCTGGATCTTCTGCTTTCCTTTACACTATCAGACAGAGTCATGCACAGCCTTGACATGATATAATTCCTGGGAACAAATGTCAACCTCCCACTGATTCGCAGCTATTCATCAAAACTCCGAGAACATTCCCCGTTAGAAGGGGAAGAGGCAACAAAGAAATAAGATATATTAATAGACTAACCATCCTTTTCCTTCCCATAATCAGCTATTGTATTCGCAGAGTGAAATTTTTGTTCAAACTGGAATTTGGATTTGAAAACTGGTCATTCACCTGAAATAGCAGTGCTACTTTTAGAAGCATGGGGATTTTTGAGTCTTCAGATATTCTGCCATCAGCACCATCTAGTGCTGCCGAGACAGAATAAGCAGCGAGCGCTGACCTAGACCTGTTTGCTGTGGGGCGGGAGGAGTAGCTTACCTGGAGCATCAGCCTGTGCCAAAAGATACAGCTTATTTCATGAAGAAGAAGAAAAAAAAAGAAAAAGGGACTTTGATCTATTTTTTTTTCCTCCCGCATACACAGTGTTTTGGCTCTAAATTAAATTTAAGTATAAAGAAAAGAACTGGGGATAGGATTTTGAAAAAAAGAGCATTTATACAATAGAAGTGAAGAGGGAAATGCATATATATTCATATTCCTGCATGAAAGTGGAATATCAGAAAGCAAATTATTTTCTCTGGCAAAAATGGAGAGAACTGGGGAAAAGGAAGAGAAAGGAAAGGGAGGGAAGAACTTTTCTTCTTCATATCTCAGTTTTCGCTTCCTTAACACAACTTAGCAGCGTAGAATAACTAAACAGGAGCGCTTGAACACAGCATAACCAAGCCCTTCGTGCTTGATTTCCATTTCTAAAGTGGCAAGGAGGAGGTAAGTCCTCCTATACATTGTCTTTGGCACCGGGGCTCTCCTTTGCAAAGTTCTGCTTTCCTGCCACAGCTCATCGACTTTGCACCTGCGCTGAAACACTTGTTTGTGGGACCAGAGCCCAGAACTCCAATATTCAGGTTAAAAGAAACCTCTCCTTCCCATATCAGTTATGCTTTCCAGACAGCAGTCCCCAAGATCAGTCGAAATGACCCAGCAGGATGAGGGCACCAACACATAGCCAAGAATTTTTCACACCAAGAATGAAAACAGACCATAGAACTACAGTCAGAAAGCAAGAGAAAATATACCAAAGGAATTGCTTTAAACTTTTCCACCCTCTATCTCCAGCTCTGAAAACCACCTTGTGAAATACCCATTTCACTTGTAGAGTATCAGAGCAGATTTAGCTACAAATCTCCAAAGGCATTCCATGAAATTTAGCTCACACAGGTCTTTCATCAGCAGCAAACACTGCTGGCCAAAGCAGGTACCTGATTCTGAAGCAGCCAGATCTGCACTGTTTGCCAGGGAGTTATATATCTCTTTATATATACACGCACATTCGCATATTTTTATATACGCACACACTCATACATATATGTGTGCACAGATACATACCCACACTCCTGGGTAAGATCAGATATGTGTATATATAGAGAGAGAATGAAATATATAAGTCACACTTCTATTCTTGCCCTACTGAAGACGGTCTGAAAAGATCAAATTGAAAATTAAATACTCTGCATGGCCATGGAGGTCAGCCCACATAGCTTTACCATAACAGGGGTTTTTCTACCACTACACTTTCCCCATTTCTATGTTTTTTGCTATGGACAGTCATATGGACAGGCTACGGAGCTACAAAACTTTTGATCTTACCCATCCTAAATTTTCCATAATAATAATAAGAAATTATGTTGTGAACAATTCAAATGTATTAATACCTCAATCCAGCTCTGTCACAAAATTACTTATGGATCAATGTTTGACAAGCAAAATAATCAGCTGGACTAACAGCTAGATGAAATAACAGCTGGGATGTATTACAGATCATCAAATCAAGCTACAGATGCACTGAACCGACAAGGAAGACTCAAGCCTGAATGATAAACTCAAGGTCTCATATTTCTGATTTTCAGGAATTATGAAAGCACTGGTTTCTTAATCCCCCCAATACAGAAGACTTTTTTTTTTAGTTTAACACAAGACTGGACCTTGATCAATAAAGAAATGATTACAGACTACACAGTAATGGTTGTTTAAGTGCAAGTGATTTGATTACATGGTATGCACACAAAAAATAAAATTCAAACCAGGAACACACAAACTTAATGTTCTCAAAAAGCTAATTCTACAGAGCCTGGTGGGGTGGGCTTAGGGTGAAAAATGCCAATAATGGGAAGTCATGTAACAACTATGTTCTCGATCCACCAAAAACCACAACTGGCAAAGAAAAAAAACTATGCTATTCTGCCAAAATTTCTGCCTCGTTTACAGGAGAGACTGAAACAGCTTGTGAAGCATCCTAAAGATAAAAGCAAATCCCTAATTTAGCAAATTAGAAGCTGGCAGAAATTGATAAGAAAATGAAAAAAGAAAAATGTTGTGGCCAGATTTAAAGACACAATGAGAAGGAAAGGCTCTCTGGTACCTTATTTTAATTTAATGGGATGACCCAAGATAATCCCATGCCAGTTAGTCGTAGGCAATCCTGAGTGCTAGGTATCCTGAGATGCATTCAGAGGAGGACACCAATGGTATAGAAAAAGACACCTTATCAAGCTTAAGCCACATTTTTAAGGAGACAACAAAGAAAATTAGGCGAGGAAGTAGCACTGCTGGAACAACTGTTGGAGCATTCTTGTCATTTATATGACTTTGTTCCATGCAGATTTTTTTTTAGTAAGAAACAACAATGACCAAAAGCAATGTCACATGCAAATTTTGAATTTAGGT